ACACATATATATATATATATATATGTATGTATGTATGTATGTATGTATGTATGTATGTATAATATATTTATTTGACACAAACAGAACAATATCTGGGAAAATATTGTTTATATTGCTTCTCTATTTCCTTTAATTTGGTTACAATACTTCATATGTAATATGATTGGCTTCTGGCACTACTACACTGATTGGCCAATCACTGATTGTTGTCTTGAAGTTTCCAAATGTTACTTGGATTGTAAAATGTGCGATGTGTTATTGACATATAATGAACATTGGATTTAACCAAGCACATTCTGCAGAAGAGTGTTTAAAGAAATCTGACATGGTATATACCGAATTCCTATCTTGAATAACAAAATTTAACATGTGTATATTGGAAAAATGATCTACTTTTCTTTTATAAAGTAATTTGCAGATTAGCTAGAGTCCAAGTTGGTTTCTCTGTTCATTTCATTGCTTTTGACTTGCTTGGTATTTTGAAGCATTGCTTACTAGCAGAAATCCTTAATCTCCATAGTGATGTGGTTGTTTAATATTCTCTTTTCAGTCGAAATTAGACAATATCTCCTAGAGAAAGCACCCCTATCCGGTTTATTTTTCTGTTATTATATTTCCTTCTCTTATTGAAATTCTTATTCTTCCCAATTTCTCTCATAATCGGCTTTTCTCTTCCCATCTAGATAACAAGCTTAATGGATGGTGTTGTTTTTATAACATTCCTTTCTCAAATGAAATTGGAATTCATCGTTTGTTTCTTTCCATTCACTCGGTTCTCTTTTATTTCATCAATTTTGTCTGTGAGCCAGGGCTTAAGTTCAATTCCAAAGGTGTAGTCGATGGACAACATGTGGATATAATGTCTATATATGTTGTAATGTTACATATATTGGGATTGTAATATAATGTATCTACTTGCAGATTAGACAACCCTAGCAATGTTAGTACAGCACCAAACATGCTTATATTTTAAATCCAATTTTCAATGTAATTTCAACGAGGCAAATATCTCTCTTCCTAAACCTAAATACTAGATTGCTTAGGAATCTATTTCATATATTACATTAATCAAATGATAAATTACATTTGAATTTCAAGCTTCACAAGTTGAAATACACTTTTGCTTTTAGAAACGGGTCGTACTTAGTACAATATGCTTCTAGTGGTTTCTGAATTAATTTGTGTTTTTATTTTTCAAGTCAGAAATTTCCTGGAGATATGCAAAATATGGTCAAAGAATTCAAGAACTTAGTTTTGTCAAGTTTTTTTTTTTTTTTTTTTTTTAATTTTTGGATGCAAAATATGGTCAAAGAATTCAAGAACCTAGTTTTTTAAAGTTTTTTTTTATTTTTTAATGTATGTAATCACAAGTTAAAAACTTTTTATTAATTTCTTTGTATATACTTTTGAACATTTAACTTTCATTTATGAAATATATGATGTTATTTCATTCAATATATGGTTGTGATTCAAAATATAGTATATAGTGTGTATTACATTCTTCAAATGCACGTACAAAAATAATATTGATTATTCTTCAAATATGTCAAATTCGTTTTTTTTTTTATCACAGGTTTTATTAGTTATTAATCACACTTAAAAGATGTGATCTAAATGTTTTTAATCACACTTAAAAGATGTGATGAAAGCATTTTTTAATGGCACTTAAAAAGTGTGATTAAAAATGTAAAACTTAAAAAGTGTGATTAAAAAACATACATCAAATAAAAAAAGTGTGATCTTTATTTGTATTTGCAGTAGTGCCAACAATTAACCAAACAACTTTCTCGTCAAAGGGAACGGCAAACACCAAAAAACAAAGAAAAAAAATAGAAGAAAAAAAGAAAAAAAGAAAAAAAACTACATGGTGGATGATCTAAGCCGAAATGTTACACGTTGAGGCTCCCTATCTTATGTTTTTAGTCTTCTAGTCTATGATATTTGATAGAATAAAGTATTTTCCTCCCTTTTTAGGTTAATATCACTGTAGAGATAAAAGGATCACAAAAAGAGGCAAAAAAAAAGCAAAAACTCCGCCACTAAGTGAATCCGCATGAGCGGAATTCACAAATCTACAAGAGCAAATTTCCCAAATTTTGTGCCGCCTTTGTATTGATCTGCACGAGTGGAATTCCCAATCCGCATGAGCAGAGTTGCCTCGATATTTGTGCATGTGTTTGACTTAGAATTGATTGGAGGTTATAAAAAGGGATTTTGGGGACCAGTTTTGGCATCTGAAACCCTAGAGAAGACGGCTAGAAGCTACAGAAGAAGAGTAAATCATCAATCCATGGCTTTCTCTTCAACATTTGAAGTGTTCAACCTCTCCATCAGTGGTTAAGCTTTCTTCTTAGGATTGAGATGAAGCTCTAATCAAGTATCATGTAATTTCGTATTTTAATTTTAGTTTGTCTTTGGAATTAGATAATCGTTGTATAATCATTTTTAAATGTTTTATTCAAATAATCTTTTCATTCGATTTATGTATTCAATTTTTGTGATTGAGAATGCATGATCATACAACTGTTTTACTTTCTTGCATATACAAATCGTGAGACGAGTCATGCTTAGGGAAGACGAATTGTGCTGCAATTGTAGACAATTCGTGCCGACCGATGATGATTTGTGTCTACGTTTTGAATATACTCATCTTCTTAACGATGATATTGGGGCTTGTAGTCACGATACATCATTATTATCCAGGTCATTGATTTACTAGAATTTTGTATTTTAATTACATGATATGAGATTAGTAATGGATTCGAAATTCTAAGTGTCTCCCCAGATTCAGATTATTCTCTTTATTGCACAATTATTTTATTTTTAATTTTAATTCTCATTAGCAAAAATCAAATCATCCTCTCTTCTTCAAATTAAATTAAAAATTACCACTCGAATTAATATAACTCAGCCAAAGTCCTCATGGAACGATACATGGATAATCCACTGTTCTACTGAATTAGTATTTTGTTTAGTTCTTTACTTTTGATTGAAAAATGATCGATCAATTTTTGGTGCTATTGTGAGGGACTTTGGCACAGTTGTTTAATTCGATAGTAGTTTTTATTTTAATTTATAATTTAGGATTTTCTTTTATTTTTATTCTTGGTTTACTACTCTCTCTTGCTAGTGTTTACTTGTGTAGGATTTTCACATGTTTACACAGCCAGTGAGCAGCCCGCAAGTGCTAGAAAAAAGAAAAAAATTGCAAAAAGCAAAACGCTCTGAAAAAAGTTTAACAGACTCATCTCGACTGTTTGCGCCATCTTGTGCCTACCACCTGATAAGTAAAGCATTGTTGTTATTGCTCTTTGAGTTTTTCTGTTATCTTTTTGCAATATATTGGCTATCTTGTGAACTAGTACCATTGTATGTTGTTTGGTATTAGTTTATGTTTGGGCATCGGTCTTGTCTTCCTAATTTAACTCCACTTGACCTTGAGATTGAGCACACACTTTGGATTCTCTGACAAAATTCTGAGTCCAATAGAATAGTTGACCTTGTTCCACTCATGGATCTAATAGAGAATCAGGCTCAGACTGTACAGTTGAGAGAGCACTTTACTCCCATAGCATATGCTTCACCATCTTGCATTAGGCCTCCACACATTACGGCCGCCCATTATGAAATCAAGCCCAACACTATTCAGATGCTCCCATCTTTTCACAGACTTGGTCATGATGACCTATACCACTGTGAAACTCCACTTGACCTTTAGATGGGTTTCTGGACACCTGCTCCACTGTGAAACTCCAACAATTCATTGACGAGGCCCTTACGTTGAGGTTATTTCCTCTTTCACTTCAGGATAAGGCCAAACATTGGTTGAATTCTTTAGTTTCTAGAGAAGTATTTTCCCATATGTAAGACTAATCAGATCATACGAGCCATCAGTAATTTTTCCCAACTTGATGGCGAGCAATTTCATGAGACCTGGGAACGATTTAAAGACCTACTTAGGCAATGTCCCCATCACCAAGTAGATGCATGGACCTCATTTACAAACATTTGTGAGAATTCTCTCCAACATGCATCTACATCTAGATTTAAGAGACAACCCTTTTCTAGTACCCCAAAGCGAGAGGGTATCTATGAAGTCGGGCATGCTGTTGATGTCTCTGAGTAAGTAGCCGCCCTATCCCGCAAATTTGACCAACTTCTTTCAGTAGGGCAATTTTCTGCACAACCCTCACAGCCTCAATATTAGGAGGCGTGTCTTATTGGTTCTCACACCACTCATCATGTTACCGAGGGTCCCATGCTTTCATAATTCCATGAGTTAGTTAAAGAACATGTTCTTGCGACTCATGGTTTCACGAAACCGAGTAATGATCCATATTCCATTACCTATAACCCGGGATGGCGTAATCATCCCAACTTCTCTTGGAGACCACCAACTTAGGGCAATTCTTTTGCTCCACCACCACCTCCTAGGAAGAATTTCAATAATTTTGCTAACCCACCTATTTACTGACCACCTCTACAACAACCATCTTACCAATAACCACCTCTCCCACATCCATGACAGTCCGCTTTTGAGGAGAAGGTCATGCAAGTTTCAAGGACTTAAGCGGATCCCTCAATCGGTCCACTCTCATTCACAGTCGATCTCCAAGCTTGAGACCCAACTTCGTCAATTAGCTAACACACTCACACGGAGGGAGGAGGGTAAGCTACCTAGCCAACCGATGACTAACCCTAAGGGTCAGTCTGGGGTAGAGAGTTCCAATGTGAGTGGTCCATACCTCGAGCAAGTTTAAGCTATGATAACTCTTAAGAATGGGGCGCGAGTTAGATGCTCATCTCGAGGTGACCAAAGAGAGCGAAGGTGAGTGTGGTAATACAGTTTTGACAGTTGAGTGTAAGGATAGTATCACCACCAAGAGGGATGATTTACCCTCTTTATCTTTTAGTAAGCCACCATCACCATTTGTGCCCAAGGCCCCTTTTCCTCAATGCTTAGAATTGCCCTCACCTTTCAGGAAAAAAAGGGGGCATCTATGGAAGCAATGATAGAAATCTTCAAGCAAGTCAAAATTAACCTCTCCTTGTTAGAGGCCATCAAACAAGTGCTTTCTTATGCTAAGTTTTTGAAGGACCTTTGCACCCAAAAACGTAAAGTCAAACCCCATATGTCTCAAAAGGTCTTTCTTACTGAACAAGTCAGCTCTATTCTATTACACAAAACACCATCTAAGCTTAACGACCCTGGTACACCTACTATCACTTGCACTATTGGTGATCATTTCATAGATAGAGCCCTCCTTGACCTAAGTGCTAATGTGAACCTTCTTCCATATTCTATGTATGAGGAGTTTGGGTTAGGGGAGTTAAAATTGACGACTGCAACCCTTCAGTTAGCCAATCGTTTCCTCAAAGTGCAACGAGGAATGATTGAGGATGTCCTTGTCAAGGTCAACAAATTTTATTTTCCCATCGACTTTCTTGTCCTTGACATGAAACCCGTAGTCACTCTTAAGAGGCCAATCCATGTCATTCTCGGTCGACCTTTCTCCGCCACGGCCAATGCTAACATTAACTGTCGGACTAGGTTTAGGAACATGCAAGTCAAGCTTAACATTTTTAGTGCATCCCAACATCCTTCACGTGAGGATGACTGTTTCATGATTGACATTGTCGATGAGTTAGTTGAGGGTACCTTACCCTTCGTCCTTGCTGAAGATCCTCTAGAGATCTGTCTCGCCCACTTTGGTTTTGAGGCCTTCGACATTGATCGCTCCATTGAGGAGGTCAATGCTTTACTTAACTTTTCTCTACCTTTTGATTTTCCACCATAGCAGATGGGGTTAGAACCCCTTCCTACCATTTTTAGCACACTAGCCCCTCTATTCATTGAAGCACCACCCAAACTCGAGTTAAAATCGCTAGTATGCCTTTTCAGGGTTTAAGGAGACCTTACCTATTATCATTGCATCTGACTTAACTGCCACGCAAGAGAGTCAACTTCTTAGTGTGCTATAGGTGCACAAGCGTGCCATAGGTTGGTCAGTAGCTAACTTGAGGGGCATTGGTCCCTCCTTTTGTATGCATCGTGTTCATCTTGAGCAAACACTAAGCCTTCTCGTGAGTCACAACGGAGGTTGAATTCGAACATGAAAGAGGTAGTTAAGAAAAAGGTGGTCAAATTGCTTGATGCGAGTATTATATACCCCATCTCTGATAGCAAGTGGGTTACTCCCACTCAAGTGGTATCCAAGAAATCGATTATCACTGTGGTTGAAAATGAGAAGGATGAGCTAGTCCTACACGCACCACCACCGGGTGGCGTGTGTGCATTGAATATTGTAGGTTCGATTCCATGACTAGGAATGGTCACTTTCCATTGCCTTTTTATTGATCAAACCCTAGAGCAGTTAGCAGGGCAGAGCTACTATTGTTTCCTTGATGACTATTTTGGTTATAATCAAGTTCATGTGTACCCTGACGACTAGGAAAAGACCACCTCCACACATGTCCTTTTGGCAATTTCTGCTATCACCGAATGTCTTTTGGGCTTTGCAATGCACTCGTGACCTTTCAACAGTGCATGATGGCTATCTCCTCTAACATGGTGGAGAAATTCTTAGAAGTCTTTATGGATAACTTCTCTATATTTGGGTCATCTTGTGAGGAATGTCTCCAGAACCTAACCAAAGTCCTTACTCATTGTGTGGAGACAAACCTTATTTTGAGTTGGGAGAAGAGCCATTTTATGGTTCAGGAGGGTATTGTGTTGGGATACATTGTGTCCCCCCGTGGTATAGAGGTCAATAAGGCAAAGGTTGACTTGATAGTTGGCCTTCCTCTACCTACTTCTGTGCGCCATGTGCGCTCATTCTTAGGGCACGCGGGTTTTTACCACCGATTTATCAAAGACTTTAGTAAGATCTCACATCCCTTGTGCACTCTGCTGGCCAAGGATACCTGGTTTGTCTTTGACAGAGCATGTTTGGTGGCTTTTAAAACACTCCGAGCTGCACTCTCTACTCCCCTCATCATGCAATCCCTTGATTGGTTTCTTCCTTTTAAGATCATGTGCGACGCATTTGATTATGCACTCGGCGTCGTCTTAGGCCAAAAGGTGAATAAAGAGTCCCATGTTATATACTATGCCAGTCGTACTCTTTCTGATGCTCAATTAAATTACGCTACCATTGAGAAAGAGTTACTGGCTATCATCTTTGCACTTGAAAAGTTCCGGTCCTACCTCCTAGGGTCTAAGGTCATTGTGTTCACTGATCACGCCGTTTTGCGGTACTTATTGTCCAAAAAAGAGACCAAACCTAGGTTAATTAGGTGGATTCTCCTCCTTCAAGAGTTTGACCAAGAAATCGGACAAGAAAGGATCCAAGAATGTTTTTGTGGGTCATCTCTCCCAAATCCTTATTGAGCACACGAGTGACCCCGTAGCTTTGCACGACTCGTTTCCGAATGAATAACTTTTTACGATGTCACAAGTGAACCCCATGTGGTTTGATCACATAGTGAATTACTTGGCAGTTGGGAAAATTCCTAAAAATTGGTCTAAGTAAGACAAAGACCGATTTTCCTCTTAAGTCAAGCACTATTTTTGGGAAAACCTAGAATTGTTCGAGTATTGTCCAGATCAAGGGATTCGACGTTTTGTGCCTGAGAGTGAGAACCATAGCATTCTCTCATTTTGTCACTCTCATGTATGTGGCCGCCATTTTAGTGGACAGAAAACGGCTGCCAAGGTTCTGCAATATCGGTTCTACTGGCCCTCTATCTTCAAAGATGCCCATAACTTCTGTAGAGCTTGTGTGTGTTGTCAACAAATGGGCTCTATGTCCAGACAAGACATGATGCCAATGACCCCTATTTTGATTATTAAGATTTTTTTATGTTTAGGGGCATTGACTTTATGGGTCCCTTTCTACCATCTTTTGGGTTTGAATACATTTTGAAGGTAGTGGACTATGTCTCCAAGTGCGTTGAGGCACTAGCCACCAAAACGAATGACCACAAAGTTGTGGTAAAATTCCTCCATGAAACCATTTTCTGTCGTTTTGGGTTTCCACGTGCCATAATTAGTTATGGTGCAAACATTTTTGCAACCGATTCTTCGAGGCGTTGGTGCACAAATAAATGATCACTCACAAAGTTGGCACTCTCTATCACCTCCAGACTAGAGGTCAAATAGAGGTTTCTAAGGGAAGTCAAACACATTCTCGAGAAAACTGTGAGGCCCGATAGGAAGGATTGGTCCACTAGGTTAATTGATGCACTTTGGGCCTATTGCACTACATATAAGACACCTATCGAGATGTCTCCATATAGGATTGTGTTTAGGAAAATGTGTCATCTCTCTGTTGAGTTAGAACACCGTGATTTGTGGGCCATTAAAAAGATTAATTTTGATATGGCAAAGGCCGGTGACTATTGAAAACTCCAACTCAATGAGTTAGAGGAGCTCCGCAATGATACATATGAGAGCTCAAAAATTTACAAGGCTAGGACCAAGGCATTTCATGATAAACACATTTCCCGTAAGTCTTTTGAGCCCCACCAAAAAGTGTGGCTTTTCAATGCCAAGTTGCCTTTTTTTCGGGGTAAACTCTGGTCTCGATGGGATGGACCGTATGAGGTTATCGAAGTATTTTCTCATGGGGCAGTTGAGATTAAAAATCCACAAGATGGCACAACTTTCAAGGTCAATGGCCAAAGATTGAAACATTCTGCGGATTATATTGAGGGAGAGGAGATGATTGAGGCTATCCACTTGATGAACCCAATGTATCTTCCTTAGTAATTACTTTGAATCTATGAGACTTTAAATCCTCTAAAAGTGCAAATTCTTTGGTGTTCATTGTGCCCTAACGGCCTCTGGTATAGCCATCTACTATGTTTGTGATGAGTTCTTAGGAGGCCAACTAAGATGATGGAAACTAGAGTTCGAATGGTAAAGCCTAGAACGCAAAGGCATGGAAATTCCGAGACTAAAGTATGATTTAAATACCCAAGGGTGTGGAGATTGCTTCAAAACTACCTCGGCTTGAAATTTATATGGCGACCCCATAGGTTAAGGTAGCTTCGGGGCCTCAATTTTGGATACCAAGTCAACCTAGTCTGTCACCCTGTTAGAGAATAGGGAAAGTTGCAAACATAGTTAAGGAAAAAAGTAGTACTCGTAATTTTCGCATGAAAATTATACTTTTATGGAGCACTTTGTGAATTATTAGTGCTTAGTTTTATGTCAAATGAACAATATAAGCAGAATTTGGGGAGTTTTATTTTTAAATATTTGTAAAAAAAATAAAAAATAAAAAATCTGCAAAAGCAGATTCCGGGGCCACAGGAGTGATTTCCCGTAATACAAAAAAAGTATACATACAAAACACAGCATGGGCAAAATAATTAGCTTGTTTGATTTGAGTTTTTGAATTTACTTCCTAGAAAATCTAAAATTTTTATTTTTCATATTTTTTTTATTGATTTTTTTAAAAATTTTAAACAATTTTTTTTTATTTTTTTAGATGTACCTTACTTAGATGTATCTAAAAAGTAAAAAATTTATAAAAAAAAAAATTTAAAAATTAATAAATACATAAAAATACAAAAAATATATATTGAATTTTCTTTTTTTCTTTTTTTTATTTTTTATATTTAGTGAATTTTTAAAAGATTTTTTTTCATAAATTTTTTTCTTTTAAAGTATATTTATGTTAGGTATGTCTAAAAAATAAAAATAAAAATTATTTAAAATATTTAAAAATTTCAATAAAATAAAAAAATATGAAAAATAAAAAAGTTAAATTTTATAAAAAATATTTTTTAAAAAAATAAAACCAAGCAAAGCGAATATAATATCACTATTCAAATCATTGTTGACCACCAAAACCCTTAACCAACCCATCACTCTCTCTTTCTCTTTCTCTCTCTCTCTCTCCCTCTCTCTCTCAAACCGCCACCAACCCTCCAACCTCCACAACCACCACCTTCACTATCCCCGCGAGCCGCCGACCCCTCCATCTCCAGCATTTTTCTCTCTCCCTCTCCCTTCATGTTTTTTTTCCTATCTCTCTCACTGTTCTCTCTTGTTTCACCCTCCAGCCGGTCCACCATTCCAGCACCGTCGTTGCCAGGCCTCCATCTGTGCCCATTCCAACGACGTCGCTGCTGACCTGCTGTCGGCCATTCTTTTCCTTTCTCTCTCTTCACTGCTGCTGCACCGGTGCCAATCCACTCGCAGCTCTGTCGCCATCCCAGCGTCCCTACCATCGCCTCTCGTTTTCCTCATTTCTCCCCATCACCGATCTCTCTTTCTCCCTCAGGTTTCCATTTTTTTGATTTATTTATTTGTTCCTTGTTTACTTATTTATTTCTTTATTTATTTATGTTGATTAAGGTACACTGTATATATATTTAGACTTATCTCTCTATAATTCTTGTCCTGTATTGCAGTGTTCTTATTCTTCTTAGTAATTTATGTGTGTCTAATTAATTTTATCTGAGTGTAAAAAATAAAAATAAAAAACTGAGATTGTTGTTGTTATATTCTAATTCTCAAGCCTGATTGGAACATTCTTTGTGTGTTACTTCAAGGGAAGACATGATTATTCATGTATTATTTTGTATCTATTCCCTGATACATATTTATTAATTAATTTGTTGGAATTGAATTGCATATTTTAAGAGTTGTGCTAATTCTGTTGGTATGTTCCCAATGGGGAGACAGTTTTGGGAGGGAAGGGACCATTTTAATTGTTTGCATGTATTCCCTTTATTATCTCATGAGCTATGCATGCAACTTATTGTTTCATATTTTTAGTGCCTTGCT